TCCTACATTTATTTAAAAAAAATGTAGGGGAGGCACACGGCCCCACACACGCCGTGCACGGTGAGCGCCAACCATTTTGATGCACTCCCCCCCGGAGGGAACTCTAATTCGGTAACTGGACCGTAGTCCACAGCAAAATAACTGGCGAACCAGTAAAAGAGGCTTGGCCCCTTGTTAGTGTGTAAGCACAAACATCGACCGAAGTCGCGCATGTCAATGCGTGTAAACGCCATACGGAATACGAACGAATCCAGCCACAGTGAATGTACGTCACACGGTTTAGGCAAATAGGCACACTGGCCGTAAACCCTCCGTGAGCGCCACCACCTGCCAGACCGCCGCTCCTGCAGACGTGATGTAAGTGTATGGCATCACCACCAATTGCATGATCAGCACAGCTACTAGCCGCAGAGCGTGTCATGAGTCTACCGCTCACCTCAAGGGAATGGGGTACCACGTTGTGCGGCTTTCGGCCGCAGCCTTGAAGGTCTCCTCAGATCCTCCCGCCAGCTACCACCCGCATGAGGTCGACACATATGCTCCACCAACCAATACAACGGCAGATATAGCCAAAAGGCAGTTATAAGATAAGAGTAATAATTCGCCATCAGAAAGGGTTTGTGTCACTGACGTTGAGTAAATGCATTTTCGATCATGTTTGTCTCACCCACCAACAAGTTGCCTTCAATCATTCAAAGGTGGGAAAGTTACAGAGATATAATATTATGTTGTTATATAAAACATCGTGGAGGGCAGACAGTCTGCAGCCCCGTAATAAAGGGACCCGACTTGGGCAAAGCTACTCAGGTGTGAGTCAAATCAAGACGCAGAGAGCGCCATTGAGAATAGCGTCCCACCAAACAACCATCGCAAAGACGCAACGCTGCAGAACGCAACAAGCATCAATACGAGTATCGTCGGGCTTACACCATCCCAAGGTCCCCCATACATCCCAGCAGACATCACCACCTGCATACCTCCATCGACCGGAACCACAAGAGTGCGTCGAATCAGGCGCAGCACACCCGCAGATCCATCACAAGACACAATACCGCAAGGAGCAGTAAGCATCAATGCAACTATCATACGGATGGCGCCCCCTCACAACACACCCACATGTACCCTATCGACTTTGGTAACAAAGTTGGTATTGTTGTTATATAAAAAATAGCACCAACGTATCATAGTAGCACGCTACTAAGACGCCAATGAACAATACTCCACGTATCATAGCGCTAATGCACTAAGACATGAAGTTGAGTATGCCTGTTACACTTAAAAGTGCTACCAAACACACTCATCCCAATCCGAAAGATAGACGATGCATCGCTATGCGCTACTACGCCGCCCACAAACGGTATGGGTGTGCGATGTCCACGGGAAAGCCGTATTGCTACAACAAACCCGCTTACCACCGACACTAAGATGTTAATTGTATACCTCCATCGACCAGAACCACAGGAATGCGTCGAATCAGGCGCAGCACACCCGCAGATCCATCACAAGACGCAATACCGCAAGTAGCAGTAAGCATCAATGCAACTATCATACGGATGGCGCCCCCTCACAACACACCCACATGATCCCTATCGATTTTGGTAACAACGTTTTTATTGTTGTTATATAAAAAATATCACCAACGTATCATAGTAGCACGCTACTAAGACGCCAATGAACAAAACTCCACGTATCATAGCGCTAATGCACTAAGACATGAAGTTGATTATGCCTGTTACACTTAAAAGTGCTACCAAACACACTAATCACCCCAATCCGAAATATAGACGACGCATCGCTATGCGCTACGACGTCGCCCACAAACGGTATGGGTGTGCGATGTCCACGGGAAAGCCGTATTGCTACAACAAACCCGCTTACCACCGGCAATAAGATGTTATTTGTTTACCTCCATCGACCAGAACCACAAGAAGGGCGCAGTAAGCATCAATGCAACTATCATACGGATGGCGCACCCTCACAACACACCCACATGACCCCTATCGATTTGGGTAACAAAGTTTTTATTGTTGTTATATAAAAAATATCACCAACGTATCATAGTAGTACGCTACTAAGACGCCAATGAACAAAACTCCACGTATCATAGCGCTAATGCACTAAGACATGAAGTTGAGTATGCCTGTTACACTTAAAAGTGCTACCAAACACACTCATCATCCCAATCCGAAATATAGACGACGCATCGCTATGCGCTACGACGTCGCACACAAACGGTATGGGTGTGCGATGTCAACGGGAAAGCCGTATTGCTACAACAAACCCGCTTACCACCGACACTAAGATGTTAATTGTATACCTCCATCGACCAGAACCACAGAATGCGTCGAATCAGGCGCAGCACACCCGCAGATCCATCACAAGACGCAATACCGCAAGTAGCAGTAAGCATCAATGCAACTATCATACGGATGGCGCCCCCCTCACAACACACCCACATGATCCCTATCGATTTTGGTAACAAAGTTTTTATTGTTGTTATATAAAAAATATCACCAACGTATCATAGTAGCACGCTACTAAGACGCTAATGAACAAAACTCCACGTATCATAGCGCTAATGCACTACGACATGAAGTTGAGTATGCCTGTTACACTTAAAAGTGCTACCAAACACACTCATCCCAATCCGAAAGATAGACGATGCATCGCTGTACGCTACTACGCCGCCCACAAACGGTATGGGTGTGCGATGTCCACGGGAAAGCCGTATTGCTACAACAAACCCGCTTACCACCAGCACTTAGATGATATGTCTAGGACACATCGGTTAGCGAGTCCAAGTTTACCTCGGACCAATTGCTCGTGAAGCAGCACACACGCCACCATAATATTCCTTTTCAAGTCCCTAATAAGGACTAGTCATTTTGCTACAGTACTAGGAGCAGTCGGTCACCCGACTACTCCATACAATGCTTATGCATCAAGGAGACCTCTTTCTATAGTATTGCTTTTGTATCATAGACCTTACTTTCATAAGTCATTAATATATAGGGTTCGAACCCACGACCCTACTATTGTAATGCAAATTCATCATGTTTTAAGACCTTCTATAGTATTGCTTTTGTATCATAGACCTTACTTCTTTGGTTCCCCCCATATTCATAAGTCCCTAATATAGGACCAGTCATTGTGCTACAGTACTTCAGGCAGTCGGGCTCCCGACCACCCCGTATATATGTACAACTGCAGGTATGTATCTCCGGCAGCTCCTCTATACAAGACATCTATACATGAACACCTTCCATAACTTAGGAAACTTTTCTTTTATACGTGAACTCCTTCCACAACTTAAGGAAATTTCTTTTATACACGAACTCCTTCAACAACTGAGGAAAATTTTCTTTTATACATGAACTCCTTCCACGACTAAGACAATTTTTAACAAATTTTCTAATTATCTTATAAATGTTATTTATCTTTATTTTTATAATATTTTCTACTTGTATTTCTATTAATTATCTTATTTTAAATATTTTTTCAAGTTTTTAATAATTTATTTATTATGGAAGACAATATTTTGCCTTTAATTTACTATGTTATTGGTCTAATGTCTGAAATGTATTTATATTAACTTTATGGTTATTAATGTAATTTTATTGTTTAATATATTATATCTTTTAGACTATTTTTGACGCCCCTTTATATTGAATTTAATTATTAATAATAATATTGGGCCGTCACAATAGGTACAACAACAAACGATTTATTTGTCATCAAATAATAGAACGAAACGGTATAAGAAATTGAGCAAAGATCAAAAAAAGGCGGATCTAAAATTACACAAAAAATTTAGACCTCTACTGGAGAGAAGTAGACCCTTCAGCTGGAGCGAAGCGAGAGCAAGTGTTGCAGAAGCCCTAATTCTCACCTACTTATAACTATAGACATTTCGACAGATATACATAATACTAGAAGCTACATGGGGTTAACTGGACATTTTATTTATGAAAATGAACTAATTAGCACAAATTTTGGTGTGCCCCATTTAACCAAATATGCCACTCTTAACTAACCCAAAATGTTGATTATTCAAGTCAAATACTAACAACAATGACTGAAAAATGGGGGTAACTCCAGAAAAAGTTGCAACAGTTGTTACTAATAATGGTGCGAATATATTCAAGGCCGTAACAATTTCATTTGGTAAACATAAACACCTATGCTCTTTCGCCCACACCTTGAATTTAGTAGCTCAAACATCCTTTGAAGAAAAAACTGGTATTGAAAGCGCGAAACAGTTACTAAACATGATAAAAGATTTAACTATATACTGTCACCAAAATGTAATTGTAGCTGATACTCTTCGTAAAGCACAAAATGATAAAACAGTACCGCTTAAATTGATTCAGTCAGTTTGCACCTGGTAGAATTCCATTTACTATCAGCTAGCAGTGTTGCCACCTTGCAGAAAACTTTTTCACTAGTTTTGGTCTGAAATTTCACCAGATTTAACGATATTTTTAACTAAAAAAATCCCCAGAATTCACTAAATCATTTAAAATTAAATCACAAGGTAAATCAAAAAATAATATTTTAATTGTGAATACAATGAATGAAAATAAACATGACAATACTAAAAATCAACTTCAAATACTTCCGTTGGTAATTCTTCTTCATCTTGATCAATTATTATTGCAGATGTAGACGGCTGAGATGGAACATCAGTTTTGTCAGATTTTTTTGATTTAGTACTGTATTTAGAATTGCTTCCAATAGCAGTAATTACATCAGCCGGGAGCTCGTAACTGTAACAGTTCTTCTTCATTATTTTTAACTGATTTCTTATAAAAAGAATGCTATTTAGGGTGTTTACAGCCATTTTGTTTCTTAATTTGTTTTTCACGATGTTCATAGCACTAAATGCCCTTTCCCTTCAGCATTTGAGTGAGGAAGTGACAATGCGGATATAGCGAGATCAGATAACCAATGTCGTTATGTGTAGCATTCCATTTAACATAATTTATACCATGCCACTGCTGTCACAGTTTGTCTATTGCTTCATCATAGAATCCGAGTTCCGCGGCAAGGTCTGCTATTTGGTTGTCTTTGCCCTGGCGAAGAGTATTTTCCACACTCTGTTGACACATTTTCTCCAAAATAATGTAGTTAGAAGGAAGTTTTTGCTTAATCTGTTTTCCTAATTTGACTGTAAAATCAATACAACGTTTCCTGACTGCATTAATGACATCATTGGGTAAAGTGGTCTTTTGTACTTGTGATTCAAAAAGATATCCTAAATACGGTACCGGATTCAAGTGGGCTTCTATTTGAATGGACAAATAATCTTTGTCAGTCGTTGCAGCCGTCGGCATCAGCACTCTATTGCAAATAGAGCGAAGCAATGTCATTAACGTGTTCAGTAGGGCAACTGGATTTGAGTCTTCACTTTCAAAACTCTTTACTCCAATTTGGACATCATTCAAGATGCTCCTTAAAAACACATATAAAAGCGATTCCTCTCATCGTCATACATCGAATGAGCAATTGTGCTGTGTAGCAATTATCTTTGTTCAAAGAGAAATGCAATTTGAGTCCTTCCCATTGAGACAATATTCTGGTCACAGTTTCTTCAATGGCCAGCCAACGAGTATCACAAGACCGTAATATTTTTAAAGGCTGATCGCCACAATTTATTGTCTCATATATATCTTTGTACTCATCACAGCGTTTGGGTGAATGTGAGAATCAATTATAGGTTTCTCTAATGAGAAACTCTATATTTCGCGGTAACGTTTGCTGTGATGCATATGACACCGCCAATTGCAATGTGGCAAACACATCTGACTAGAATTAAATTAGGTACCCCATATTCCGTTTTTAAAATATTATGCACGCCATTATTGACTCCAGTCATGACAGAGGCATTATCCACTCCAATTCCAATTAAGTTTTTTAATAGAATACCATGTGCCTGTAAACAGTTTACCAAGGCAGTAACAATTCCACGAGCATCCGCGCTCCTCAGTGGTTCTAATGCTAGAAATGCAGATACAACTTTATTTTGCGTGCAACTAAAATATCTAATTACTATCACCAATAATTTCGATACACTGAGGTCAGTGGATTCATCTAATAGTGCACTATACTTTTGTGATCCAATAGCATCTGTTTGAAGTGAGGAGCCAACACATTCTTTATTACTGCACAGCATTTCGTTCTGTGTATTTTCATGTCCATAACACTCTTTGAATCAGTAATACATTGTTTTAAAGCTTCAGTTAAGTGGTCAATTTGCTGTATCGACGTGTACTACATAGAACAGGGACAATGTTCCTTCAACTTTTAACGTGTTTGTATTATTTTTAGAAGCGGGCAGAAATTCAATTTGTCGGTTTTTAGACACAAAGTCAAAGTTATCTATATGTTTTTCTGTTGCTCTGTGTTTCTTAATGTCGCCAATTCTTGCAAACATTTCACAATGACAAAAAGTGCAAAAGGCTTTTGTAGGATCATTTGCTACAGGCCGTAACCAAATCTTGAACTCTTCGTGGGTTTCCCATTCTTTCCGATATTTTTGAGAATAAAAAGTCTTTTTTTTCAGTGGCACGTCCATGATAACGCGAAATAAATACTACACAAAAACCCACACAAAAACTTTAGATCTTGTCGGATGATTTCGATAAGAATTGTCTCCTACTTTCACGAACGAAAACTAGCAACTAACTAAATACAAGCAATAGTATGCAGCTCTCAATCATATAAACTTAACATAAGTGTTAGGTTTGATTTAATAGTTGGAGAATCCCCAAGCGTAACCAAACAAAGACGTCTAAAGCTACGTTCCAAAACAGGTATGTTTTACTCGGCAAAGTGTACCCTGGATCCAAAGCACAACATTCGATAAATATCACTAAAAGTCATCAAATAATTTTTCAGTGATTTTTTTTCAGATTATCACTGTCTAATCCCTAAAATTCACTAGATCTAGTGACAAAATCACTAAAGTGGCAACACTGTCAGATAGTTCGGTTCGTAAAGTTATCAAAGCTACTTGCCTAGATATTACTTCATCACCCGAAAGCTCCTCTTATGTTAACAGCCAGTAAAATAAATGCTATTAAAGGTCTTACAAATATTTTAAAACCCCTGTCGGGCTAGCATGAGCAGGGGATAAAAATTTTATCCACCGATTACATCCACTGACAAGGGATAAAATTGTCTTATCCCTATGTCAAAGCTTTATCCACCCTGCGAGCATGGGCCTATGGTGGATATAATATCGACAGTAGATAAACTTATTCCCGCGCATAGGTAATATACGATAGCAAAGATGTTTTATAAAACATCTTTGTACGATAGTATAAAGCTTTAAACTATACTAGCTATAAACTTCTTTTAAGATTAAGTAGATTTAAATTAACTTATATTTTCTTTTACCTTTTGTTTATTATATTGCTAAACTGTTAATAATTTTTGTTAAACAATATGTCATTTATAATATTTGTTATATTTATTTTAAGCGTATTTCTGCCCTGTTTTTATTTTTTCTATTATTCTAATTCTTTCTTTATTTTCTTTTGTATAATATTTAAGTTAAGCATACATTGCTTGTATCAAATCGCAGGTATTACTTCGCTTGTGATAGTTTATTTAAAAAATATGTGCCGTTAAGCAATTGAAACTGGACAATACAGACCCTTTGGAGGTGGTGTAACCTCTTGAGGAAATTTAAAAAAAACTTATCCCCGCAATTACTGCCATTATAAGAAAATTACAAAATACATCAAAATTGATGTCTACTCTAAGTCACAAAGATTTAATTTTAATTGAAAATGATGAAGCATGAAGAATAAAAATGTAATGATTTCAAACAAAACAAGGAATAACTAATTTTATAATCATGAGTATTGTGTTATTTGTATTCCTAATATTATGTATATTAGTCTTTAAACTTGTATTTACCTACACAAGAGGCTAATTAAAGTATATTGCTCCACACATTCTAATGATGGCCCCAATAATTTAGGTCAAGTATTTGCTGATTATTTGTTGTTTGAACAACAGCCATGCCATGGTCTTGAATCGTACCTCTCTAGTAGGTAACTACCATCAACCAAGAGACTGAAAGATGTAAACTACCTACCTAGAAAAAATATTAAGATAAGTTACATAAGCCACCGATGTATTGATTGCAGATATACGATGTTTTTGGACAAGGTGGTTGTAATAGACGCTTACTTCAATATGCACTGGTAATCCATCCACAGAATTAATAGGCTTTAAAGCCTCATAGAGTTCTTTACACAAATACAAAACAATCTTTGAGCATCCGAAACCGGCGTAGAAATTCGTTGTCGGAGAATTCCAATAGATTAAGTATTCTGATCACGTATCGATCGCTGGTGTAATTTTCTTTCTTGTTTTTCAATTTCTGACACGAAAATGTAGTTGCAATAGGCTCGAGACATCTTTTTTTGTATTAAAATGGTTTGAAGATAAACTTAAACCCATGTCCGCGAAAGAGGATAAAATTGTCCCTTTCAAATTTCAAAAAGGGATAATTTTTTCTCTTTCCCTTGGCCTCATGCTACGGACGGGGAGATATATGTCTACTCGTTATGTCAAACGGGGATATACTATAGAGATAAGACAATTTTATCTCTTGTCAGTGGATATAATCGGGGGATATAATTTGATTAATTTATTTACTATGGCTAGACTCGTTTTTCTAATGGTCGCAAGCACGACTGCTGAGCATGATGACCTAGGTTCAAACCCCGGGTCGGGCATAGTATTATTGGGTTTTTGATGTGACAACTTCTTTTGATACTAAAAAAAATATAAATCTTCAGGAGTAAATAAAATTTCTTAAATGTTTAAAAACACCTGCAATCCATTAGTGTTGATCCGATTCGCATATTTTTCGCGACTTTGCGTCGCGTTCGCGCCTCATCTCATTCCCGAAATTTGTCGGTTTTTTGTCCTGAGACAAAGGGTTAGTAAGACGCGAATTTGGTGCGAAAGCTACTAGGCTCCACATTTGCAAGCAGCTCAGTCCTATCGAGTCGAGTGAGACGAACAGGTGTCTGTTAATGCTACAAAATAGTGAAATACGCTTACGTAGTTTTGAAAATGAACAAAAATTCGTCTAACTAACTAACTGGTTTTAACGGAATTGGTTTAGTGAATACACGGAACACCACACACAAAATGCCAAAAACATTTTCTATGATCCTCCTAGCCCTTGATAGTCTATAATTGAATATACGCTTTTTGTTCCCTTGTTGTGATATGGTTTCATGATGTTCTTCGTTACCGCGAAAGCACTGTCACCTACAATAACGTATGGCATTTCTGGTCCGCCTTGTGTTATTGGTTCAGGACGTGGCAGTTTAAGTGAGTTTTCTAACAATGCATTATAAAACGGTGTTTCCTGAAATATTCCACTGTCGGACGACCGACCCTTAGCTATACAATTTGCATATATAAAGTTATAATTGCCATCTGCAATTACTAAAAGTACCATGCTGAACTGATTTTTGTAATTGTAGTATTCACTTCCAGAATTATTTGGCGCCACAATCAAAACGTGTTTCCCATCAAGGGCTCCAATGCAATGTGGAAAATTCCATCGTATTTCGAATTCACGACTTATTTGTTTCCATTCCTGCTTCGAACTTGGAACCTACAAATATTAAAAACAATAATAATATTATAATTTACAGGTAGATGAAAAAAATGCACTTGAAAGTGGTATGGAGTTAGAGCCATCTCAATCACCAAGGCTTATATCGAATGCTACAACATCTACATCTTCGAGGAAAAGAAATAAGACAGATGAATCAAGTGAAATATTAGAGGTTTTGAAAAGTGCAAAAAAAGATGGATGAAAAGAAGAAGAAGGATCCATTTGATATTTATGGTGAATATATTGCTGCTGAATTAAGACGTGTCAAAGATGACCAAGCCGTGACACAGGTAAAGTACCATATTAATAATACACTGTATGAATTAAAAATGGGACGATATAATACATATGGATATCAAACGGCATCTTCTCATCCATCATCAACACCAAATAATGTCCAGGAAACTGAAATAGGGGAAATTAAGACACAGGAAACAAATAGACTAGATGCAATACAAGACGAAACAGAAGATTCGGCTATACTAAACTTAGTTAATAACTATCTCAGTGATGAATCAACACAATAGCATATACTGTTTTTTTGTGTTTTTTTATTATTAAAATACTTGATTACACAAATAGTGTTCTTGTACCTACCTTGACATATCCTGATAGTGAGTTAATTAGTTCTTGACATACATCTGGTATTTTGCTAATCAATTGTTTTGATACTCTGAATGTGTACAAAAGAGAACTGTATGAATCTCCAGTTGCAAGATACCGTAATGTAATAGCCAGCCTCGTTTAAGGTGAAACTGGCTGAAGAATATTTGTTTCCCTTTTGGCTATTGATGGACCAATCATTTCCAGAAGATGTTCGATATCACTTTTCGATATTCTCGTAAGGTTACAAAATGATCCATCTGTCATTCTGAGGTCACTCATTAAATTTTCTCTTTGCAAAAGATAGTTTCGAATCCACCATCTTTTTCTCTTTTTTTATTAGAAATCCTATATATCAGATACAGAGAACACAACAATACTACCTCCTCGGGCAATATTTTAACGCAGACTGGCGTGTGGACAACCTGTATTGATTTAAACATAATTGCTAGCAACATTCTCGCCGCTCACCAACAATGTTGATCAACTGTTGCTAAACAAATGTTTACCATGAATACGGGGCTTAAGTTTATCAAATCGGGAGCAGGTGTCAAAGACATATATCAGTCCTACTGGTAGTATCAGCCCTATTGGTTTGCCTACGACATAATGGATTATTTTTTGGGGGATACATTAAACTGTAAGGAAACTATAAATACAGTGAGTGCTTTGTATTTTATTTGAATGGAAGAACTACAAATAATCTAGGTTTTTATGTAACCATTTTTATGAACTGAAATATTTCGTAAATTCGTCTCTTATTTCTGTGGTGTTACGTGGTGGCCGGCGTGGTAAACGTCGCAAGTCATGTAGAGCACATGTCCTCTCCACTTCTCTCCTCCACAACCCAGGTTCTATAAGTACTTCAGCAGCGTCATGAATATCAACAGTTCCGAGTGGTGTATAGATAAGGGAAGAAGTACGATTCCGTCTCAAAATATTATGTAGTAATATACAAGTCATTGTTACAGTAGTAGATTTTTCTGGTTGTAACGGAATTAGCTTTTAAACGCTCTAAATTAAGTAACCATTATATCAAAAGTATTTTCTACCACTACCCACCTTTTTTTTTACATGGGGAAATGCCTACGCATACCCGCCTCGCGGGGGCAAGGACGGGTTATGTCGGACTCGCACCGACTAAAACCCCATGGTGTTCCACCTTTGTCGCATATTGGCAGGGCTACGGGAACGCTTTCCCACACATCCGCGGCCCTACTAGCGCCTGCCGCCCCATGGCAGCACCTCCTCGGGAGAGGAAAATTCCTCCCCGTTCTCCTTCCCAGGTAAGGCGCACCAGAACACATGGCGCGCCTTCCTCCACGGCCTCCAATTACGTCTGTGCAACAGACGCCCCCCGCGTCCGATGCACAAAGGCCATGGGGCCAGGAAAAACGAGCACTTAGAAGTACTAGCCTTCCCGACCCCGGCGGCGGATCTGGTCTATGGCTCCGCCGCCAACCAAGATTCGGCTGCGGAGGGTAGGGAGAGCGGCGCCTCGCAATACCGACAATCCTCTCCCCCCGCAGCCCCACCACCCCCGCATCAACGGTGCGGCCCCGTTTGAGTCGCGGAGGATAGGGCGAGTGGCGCATCGCCATACCAACACTCCTCTTCCTCCGCGACTCCACCTCGGCTGCAGCGGTGGGTGGTGAGGACACCCCTCTCGCCACAGTCCACCAACACACATCCGAAGTGGGCTCCCCAAGCCCACACGGAGTGGCCACCTCGGGCCGGCCCTCCACCTCGGGCCAGCCTCGTGGGTTCCTCTTTGTTCACCGCGGGCGACCAAGCCACGGCTACTAAGCCCCCCCGCCACGACAAGGCGGGAACCCGTTCGGGGGGGACCACTACCCACCCTGAAGATAATCTTTGGTTAAATTTACGTTTTGGAGTACCCAAATCGTGATTTTCAGAATATGGCTTCATCACATGTTCTGATAAGCAAAGGCTCCGTCTCCCAAAAAAACATCAACATTTGAACCTGCTAGAGAATAAAGTAGTGACAAAATTTAGACGTTTTTTGCAAATATTTTTACTTAACTTAATACTTTACTGAAAGTTCTTTTATTATTGAAGTATTCCGATCCAGAGTTGAACGGACATTCCAGCAGGGCTATTCACAATGCGTCGGAATGATTTCCCCCGGAAACGGAAAAGTTTCTTTCGACAAGTTTTCGATCCGAATGTCACAGACTTTGATATTCACATCTCTTCTCGTTTAGGATTCGACACGGAAAGCTTTTCGAATATTAGTGAGAGTGCATTGCAGAAGTGACCTCCGTCCTTCATACTATTTTGTATTTTCTTCAAATATGTTATATTTTTAATACAAATATTGTAAACTAATCTAAATTTTCGATAAAATAATATTACTTTTAACATACTTTACTAATGCGGTCTATATTTTCATAATTGAAAACTAACCTTTTTACTAACATACTTCGTAAATGCTATTTTATTGTCATTGCGTTTCGGAGTAAAACAAGAGTTGTTGATTGTTGTTAGTACTCTTATTAGTTTGTGGTTGTCACTAAATTTAAATCTATTTTTGTGTGATGTAAATAAACTAATAATGGAAATTTGAGTGATAAGTAGAGCTATTCAAGTTATTTAATTGTTACTCTTGATTTCTTTGATTTTAGTACCTAATAAGTTTAATGATTATTAAAAATATACTTCTGTGAGCAAAGAAATTAAAAAAAAAAACGATTGCAAATCTTCATTAAAAGTTCTACCTATTTACTCTTGTCTTTATTGAAACTAATTTTAGATATATTTTTTTTTGTATTTCAGCAAAAAAGATCACGTGTTTCCTACGAGCAGCGTGAAAAAATAATAATATACGTGCAAAAAATGCAACAGTTGTCCAGAAACTATTCAACACATCACAGGTGTGGCGTGTGGCGTGGTGTGTGGTACACAGGCGTGTAAAGCAATGGCCCAAACAGATTACAAACACAGACATTTATTTATTTATTTATTACAAAAACAGTAACAACATCATAACAATACAAAACCAAGACGATGCTGTACAAAAACCAAACAATAACTGATAAATATAACTACTGACATAAAATATATACTTATACAATTATAATTAAGAAACAAAAATATAAATTGAAAGAAAAAAAAGAAAGAGAAAAAAAATTATAATAAAATCTCACAGACCCTGTGCGCCGCTTCTGTGAACTTTGCCAGGCTGCAGTGGTAAATGTCCGTTTCTTCGGAAATAATATTCAATAACTTTAAAGCCCGCGACATAGGTGCAAACCTGAGCAGATTTGTCCTCGCGTGCGGCACCTTAAAGGTGGGATGTGGGCGACGCCTAACCACCGCCTTATCAGGCACAAACAGCTGAAACACCTCCAGTACCTCAGGATGGTGTAGCTGGCCACGCAAGACTCGCCACACGTACTTGCAGAGTGCGACGTCCCGCCTCACACCAAGCTGGCTGTACCCGACCATGCCGATCACGAACATGCTTGGGTACATCAGCGGGTAGAAAGGATAAACGCCGTACTCCTTTAAATAAAGGAACCGCGTGAATTTATTTCGAATTTTTTCCACCATGTTGATATATTTATCTTCATGGGGATTCCAAATAATTGCACTCGTTTCCAGCCGGCTGCGAACAAGTGCATTGTATAAAACTTTAATAATCGCCGTACTAAGAAAATCCCTGCAATTCCTTATGATAAAACCTAAGTTTCGGAATGCCTTACCGCAGATATCTTCAATGTGATTACGAAACGTTAACTCCGCCACCATCTGCACACCTAAGTCAAGTACGAAAGTAACGCGCGGCATTACCGTTCCGTCAACCTCGTACCGATATTGCAGCGGCGCCTGTCTGCGTCCGTAACTTATCACCTCACACTTCGTTGTGTTAAAATATAACTTATTAATAGCACTCCACTGCACGACCCTATCTATATCTCGCTGAAGCTGCTCACAATCCGAAACGTCTGCTACCGACAAAAACAGTTTTAAGTCGTCTGCAAATAGGAGACATTTCGAGACCTTAATGACCTCTGGGAGATCATTTATCAATAATATGAACTCCAAGGGGCCCAAATTACTCCCCTGGCTCACACCCGAAAACGTGAAGTAAAGTTCGGATTCATACCCCGCGAACTCGACGTACTGCCGGCGTTCACCAAGGTAACTCGCGAAAAATTTTAAAAGATGCGGTGTGAAACCCACCGCCGCAAATTTTTCTAAAAGGATATCGTTATCAACGGTATCAAATGCTTTCCGAAAGTCGAAGTAAGCGGCATCCACCTGCCCCCCAGCGTCGATAGCTGGCGTCAGGTATGTCATAAATGACAGCAAGTTACTCGCTGTACTTTGGCCCGCCCGAAACCTATGCTGAACATCAGTCAGCTGCGAACTGACCTGCGTATAAATACATTTTTGTAATGCGGATTCAAATACCTTGGCGAACGCAGACAGCACCGCCACAGGTCGGTATCCGCTTACATCTGAACGAACGAAAAGTCGAACCTCCTTTAGACACCTGTATTACTCTTGTCAATTTCCATTCTTCCGGATAGTAGCCTTCTCGGAGACACAGGTTAAAAACGTGAAGCAGAGGCTTTTCAAAAACAGAGCGACAGTCTTTGACTATGTAAGGTGGTATACCGTCAGGGCCTACAGAGCGTTTAGGCTTGAGGTGTGCGAGAGCGGTGCGGATGTCGCGCACGCTCAGCTGGCCGACGTGCACACGAGCTGCGCCAGCACGCGCGCTCGCCGCACGCGCCGCCGCTTTCGGATCCAGCGCCGGCCGCGTCTCGCTATATACAGTTTGAAAATAAGACGCGAAACATTGCGCACTCGACTGATCACTTAACTCTAGACCATTTTTTGTTACTCGAGTTTTGTTACGTCTAGACTGCTTACATCTTACGTAATTCCAAAAAGA